TAAAAGCAGTAATACAGGTCACTAGTAGTGGTAAATTTTAGGTAACCATGGCAAAACTTCAGCAAATCTCTTACAGGCCCTGAACAAATATACATCAACAATAAAATACAATTTAGAAGTATATGAGAAAAAGAGAACAGACAGAATGGTGTAAGTGAATTTATTACACAGGAAAATGCAGTGAAATCAGGATTACCTATATTGGAGTAAAAACCAGGACAAGTTTTAAATGTCATGTTATCTCCACAGGCTGTTTTGCTAAAGTTTCTGCTTCCTGCTCCCCTACTCTTTTCCTTTCAGCGTTATTGTCTCTGCTTTTAGTTGCTATACTACCTCCTGTCTGGTGTAAGCTCAGTAGACCTATTGCTGCTTCTTCCCAAACACAGCAGCAATCTTTTCATTGTGTAATGCTTTTCTTTCTGGTCCTATTTCTTTCTAGAAATTAATGTTCCTTTTAAATGCATAGTTTCTATTAATGTATTTGATGCCTGTTGCTGGTCTTTCTGAAGAGATATCAGTGAGAGTGTAAAGAGAAGCAACACTTTCTTTCCTCTAAGTTTATGATGAAAAGAACAGTGAAATAAAATGTTATCTAAAAAATGTTACGAAGACAAAAAATGCTGTGAGTGTTCAACAACTTTACAGGCTTTAACACACTTTTCTTTAAGCACAAGGTATTTTGTTTTACTGCAACCTATATCAGCACATTAATCTGTGAATCTGTGGGTATGTGCAAATTTATGTGTAGTCCAGAGGAGTGATACAGAACAAATATCTGTCATCTTTAGCCATACTACTTTTTATATTCTTCGCTAATGTAGCACTTAGGAATTCAGCCTAATATTACATATCACTCAAAAATTTTCACTGAATTGTCCAACAAAGAAAAAATATCTTGTTTCTTTATCTAATGCCAAAGGTGAATTTGGTGCAGTGGAATTAATTTGATGGTACATTAAAAACTGAATACATGTTTGTGTATAGTTATTGTGCTGATCCTTATGGTAAATTTTAACAGAGTAGGAGTTACAAAGGTCCTCATCCAAAGAAAACACTATGTCCTGCCCTTAACCTGATGAGTCATTTTATTGTGGGACTTCGGGAGGCTGCAGATGGCTCTACATCACAGAGGTCAGCTGTGTCTTGCTGGGGCACTGTGTGGTGTCTGTGCAGCTTCCCTTGGATCATAAACAGAATTTATCACTCTTTCCTATCCAGGTGGTAGATAACGCATCAGGGAAGATGCAAACTCACATAGCTGGGTTTAATCTCTTCCAAAGCACAAAATCATTGAGAGATTGAAGGCTGGAGAAACTGAATTGTCAGTGTTGCCCAAAATGGTATTGTTCAGGCCGTGCTCCACAGTTCAGGTCCAGGGGGCTGAACTGTTGCAGCTGCCTGCTACATACAAAAGTGTCTTTAGGAACTGCACCTACTGTGGTTTCTCTCACGTAACCTCTTCATCCTTTCTTGACACCAACACATGGTTTACTATGTCTAGATACTCACTTTCTGGCCAGGTGATGTCTATGAAACAAATGGAACTTGGGGATTGATGTGGTTTTGCATCATTTTTTTAAAATCTCTGTGGGGTCCTCTTGCCTTGTGTCATTAGGCTAGTTCCTGATGTCAGTTGATGTGCTCCTTGAGGACAATGGTTCTTCTCCAGGGGCTTACGCAGGCTGGGAACGGCTGAGAGCAATGTGCTCAGCAGCTGCTGGCTTGCTTCATCTCACTTCTATTCTCAGAGAAATGTGGGTGCAGAATGGACATAAAGCAAGGCCACTAATATAGAGCATTTATTTTCTTTCTTCTATATTGAAACCTTCACTGAGGCCCTGTGTGTTGTACTATGCAGTCACAGAATCATAGAAATAGTGTTTTGAAGAGATTTCTGGATATAGTAAATTACTTCTCCTGTACTTCTGATATTTCTCCAAATGATGCAGTGTCTGACTCTTGACAGCAATCATAAATCAGTTATTTTTTTTGCTATGGATTTAGATTATTTGACTACCCGTGTTATATGTTGGTAATATGAAAAATTATTCAGACCTAGAGTAAACATAGCATGGCAAACTGGAAAGCTGCCAAGGGTCCCACAAATAACTAGGAAATAAAAGACAGCGGAAAATGAAATGATGTGTCAATCCTTTGCATGAGAGTTCATTACAGAGGATCTTAGGAGAGTTTCTGTGTTGCATCCTCCATAGAGGATAAGCCTGAAGAGGCATCTCAGAATGAAGTGTTAGCTGAAGTGGCTTAGAATAAATCAGGTTTTCCAATAGGATCAAATAGTGAGGGCCAGATGTTATTCACTCAAGGGTTCTGAAAGTACTCAGGTATGAAACTGCTGAGCTACTGTGTTATATTATGCACTTTACAACTGACTTTAAAACTAAAATACATGGCAGTTGGGAACTTAATATTTTTAAAAAAAAGAACTTCATGAAACAGGAACTACGCAGAGATAATTCTGATTTTTCAGTAAAACAGGTAGGTGGAAAAGCAGAATGTATAGACAGGTGTCAAGACAGAATGAAGAACAACTGACCCAGCATTTCAGAGGTCATTGAAGGAGATGATGAGCATGTGGACAAAAGTGATACAGCCGAGATACTGTGCATCTGTTCCAAAAAACCTGTTGGACGCCATATCTCACCTAAGGCTTTTAAAGAGATCAAAGTGCAATGATATAAAGGAAAAGAAAAGTCCTTCATTAATTAATAACTGAATGAAAGGCAAGAAACAAACAGTAGGAATAAATAGTATGTGGAGAGGAAGTTTCCAGTCATATCCCAGAAAGTTGCTGTTGCATTTTGTCATATGTAAGAGGGGCATGCACTGGAGTAACGTTTATAAAAACACATAGTAATTTAAAATAGTGAAAGCTAGGCTAGATGTGACAAAGAGCTCATAGTATTGGGTGACTGGGGGGCTCAAAGGATGGGTGGCATGCAAAATTGATCTATACAAAATAATGTGTGTGTGTGTGTGTAAAAAAAAATCTTCCAATCACATACATAAAACAGTGGATAGTAAATTAGTTGTTACTGATCAGGCAAAAGATCTAAAGAGTTGTTGTGAGTAAACCCCTGAAAACATCCATGCAGTGCTCAAGTGTTCAAAATGGCAATGAGCATGCTAGGGAAGTCACAACTGAGGAGTTACACAATAAAATCTGTAAAATCATGACTGGCATGAGGAAGCGAATAAAAATAGTCATGTTTATTCCTCACTGAATAGGTCATATTCATAACATCTTGCTCTTATGTCATACTGAATGGCCATTATTCACTTTTTTTCCCCCTCAAATGTAAGAAAGAGTTATGCCCAAATAGAATATCTAGAGGAACTTTAAAAATCAACAAACCAAGAATATTTCAGCACAACTCAACCATGGGACTCCTTGCTAGAGGACGTTTTAAGTAACAACCTCTATAAGTTCATAGATTGAGGAATTTGTCCAGTCACTCCATAACAAAAAATTCACCAAAGACTTTCGAAAATTTGTCTACTTCAACAACAATACAGAAAATGTGCCACTAACATTGTCAAGACACAGAGACCAACTGGGACAAAACAACTTACATTTAAGCTAGAAAATTCTTTTAGGCTCCAAAATTTTATAGGAGCATGCATGTCAGCAGGGAGCCAGGCAGTAGCATCAGGCTCTACTCTGCCTCCTGGTTTAGTGGTACAGGTGAGTTTGTTCCAGTGCCTGGGCATATGCCCAGGCTGTTTAATTAGGAAAGACCCTGGGAAGCATCTGCCTGCCAGAAGCTGGAAAGTTTCCTTCTGCTCTCCCTGTCTTTCTGTTGCTGGAGACAGGCTTCCACACTAGCTGGCTCCTGGAGCTGAGCCCCTACAACAAGCTGTCAGCACAGGAGGAACATGTGCGGTTTGGATCAAAACTGAATTTTGTCCATATGCTTTTTAATTTTTTTTTTAATAAATAATGGAACTATTGGGATTTTGCCTTTTCTAAAATAAAATATACAATATATTCTTTAAAGCAGTCAGGTAATTAATCTAAGAACCTTCAAGGCAGTTGTGTTGGTATTGGTTGATTGCATGTCATTTTTTAAAGCTAAACTATTAATATAGGACATAAAATGTTAATCAGTGTGTATCTGAATACAGTATGTTGCAAATATAGAAGAAACACAAACATTTTTATTAAAGGTTTACAATGCAGATACAGAACTTGTGTAATAATATGCTACTTACTGCAAAGCACTACCAGCAAACATTCAAGCCTTCTGGAAAAAGCCAAGACATTTTACTTATTTTTGCTAATGCTTTGCTAATAAAATTTGCTTCCTCATATCCTTAGACCATCAAGGCTACAACAGCATTACTACTGCTAAAAATATTTACAGTCAGGTTGCTCAATTAATTATTGGACTGTAGAAACCAAAAATATCTTAAAAAATATTAGGCTGTCTGTTAGCAAGTCATAGTGAGCATTTCATTCTAAGTACAGAAGAAATAATGGTTTCAATTAATTATGTAAATTCTGTGAAAGCTGATGAACTTTTGACTAGTCATGAAACTAGGATTTTAAGCTTAGTTGAACAATATTTCTGATCTATCAATTAAGACCTTTCAAATAGTTACTCAGTGTATTTCAATTTTGTGAGGTGGTTGTCTGTAAGCATGGCAGGCTACTCGGAACTTGTCAGATAGTAATGACGTGGTATGACATTAGTCTGTTTGCATTTCTGGTGTATTCTATATTCTTGTTATCTAAATAATACTGCTGTATAGTGCAAAACAGTATGTCAAATTCTTCTGAGTACCTATCATGCTGTTTATAGATTAGATACAAAACCTCTTAAAATGGTGACAGCTCTGGTTTAAACTTTAATGATCACATCAGGGGACTTCTACTAAACTAATACAAAATTAAATATTAAATCCCTATGACAGCACAGTGGAATTTTCAATAGAAAGGCGGAAAAAATTAAGGCACTTCTACTATATCTAGTTTCATATGCTGCTTATATATAGGGCTACAGATTTAGCTGTAAGTGATGAAACTCAAATATTACTTTAATTTACAACTTGTAAGGATTTGGCCTTCAATTTTTATTACACAGTCCATTGCAGAAACAAACAATTTCACATTAAAAGCATATTGCTACATAGATTTTAACAATGAAAAGAAGAAATACATTTTGGCTGCAGAAATAAAAAAAAACAAAAAAAACCCCCTGCTCCATAGAGCTGTATTTTAGAATACACTTAAATTCATCAAAGTACATTTTCCCATGGTTAACTACTGATGACTTATTTACAAAGCAAATAACAAACAATGGCTAGAAAATACCATTGCACCACAAATTACCTACATGGATATTTCTATTTTTCATACTAGAAAACAGCTAAGGTGGCATTTACAATGCTTCTGTCATAAATCTTAATGTGTTTTAGCTAATACAAAATGGAGATGCAGACTGTATTACATTAGTTAGAAAAGTAAACATATTATGGATTTGGTTAAGAAAAAAATAGATGTCTAACAAAATGTAACTTTTTTTTTTTTTGTTATTCTTAAAAAAGGTCTAATGCATTAACTGCTCCAAGCACTTCATACAGGGACTGTCAATGACTTACAAATTCAAAATGTTGCTGACAGGGCAGGTGAAATTTGAGAAACTACTTGACAGAGAAGTCATCAGCCTGTGCTAGCTCTGACAGGCTTATAGCTAGGTTTCTATTCACATACGAATTTATGTTAATAGCATCTATGCTGTTTTGGGGATCATTTGACAATCAGTACAACATGGAATACTTCCATTTATTAATCTCTTTTAGATGAAGTGGTGGGTTATTGTTTGGATTCTAAAGTCTAATTTTTATGTGAGAAACAGGAGCAGAAGGTGAAGCTTGGAGTTTTGTTTACATGAACCCTGAAAGAAATATTTTCCCTTTGAAATTGTGGAACATGCAATCCTTGTAAGAGAAGACCTCTTGAACTGCAAATGTTCTAGATGACCTTGTGAGACTTCAGCACACAAATAACCTGCACAGAAAACACATCTACAAATAAATTTTAAGAGTAAACCGAGCATCCAAGAGTATTACAACTTCATTTCCCATTATTTCCCATCATTAAAAGCTCACCTTCGTTTTTCAAATGATAGTTGTCTAGCCTTTGAATTTTTGTTTCCAACCTATTTAAGACTGTAACTTGTCAAGATCATGTCAGATCGCTACAGGTACAGTAGCTTTCTTTTAGCCTGATGTACATATTCCTGGTAAACATGACTGTTTTGAACACTGGAGCTTGGCAAGCCCCCATATCCCTTGGCTCTGCTTGCTGTTAAGTTTCATGCTTCTGTGTTATGCGCAGTGTAGAAGTGCTGCAGAAGCAATTTTTGACAAGAGTGGAAAAGCAGGCACTTTCCTCTGTGGTATTTTTTTTGAGGGAAGGTGTATCCTACACACTCCCACAGCATACAGCCCAGACAGACTGTGGCACTGGTGTGCAATTGCTTTGAGAGCTATGCAGCAGGAGACACTGTCACGGCAGTGGAGTAGTTTCAGCTTCTTGAAGTTCCAACTGAAAGGAAAGAAATTGCAAATACAATGAACAATTACTTGTTTTCTTATCACCCACAAGTTTGTGTGTGTGTGTTGGCATGTGTGTGGTGTTGTGTTTTTTTTTTTTTTTTTTTTTTTTTTTTCAATAGGAATTTACTTCTCATTTGCAACTACTGTCCTGCTGTATAGAGCTAAACAGGTAGCCTGGAGTAAGGCAAGACTGTTTTTGCCATGAAGCAGTGAAGGCAGATGAAATAATCACAGCAAAGTTTCACGTCTGACCTTCAAAGACAAACATTAGTAGATCTGAAATTTGAATTAGAATTAGAATATGTTTCATAGCAAGCCAGTTGTTCTCTTTCTAGAGGGGGACTCTCTATAAATTTCATGAGTATGGAAGGATTTTTCTCTCTTCCTGTATTCTTTTTGTAGCAATTGCAGGTGAGTTAGTATTTTAGATGATACATTCTGTGCTCACATCAGTAGATTGGCTAACTCGGATTTGCAGTTAAAAGTCTAGTTTAAATTCTGTGTGAGATGGCCTTACATCAGCAAACAAACCCAAGAACCTCTAAGCCCTGTGTGTCCACAGTATCTGTGTTAAGTCCTATTCGCACACAGGCACAACAGAACTACACATTTTCATCAAGAAAATCTGCTTGTGGCACCACACATTCTGAAAGCCTGCAGCCCTTTTTCCTGTCCAGCAAATGTTGCCCTGCAGCTCTAGAACATGTTGAGAACAGGGTGGGAGACGCCGCAAATAAAGGGTTTATGGTATGGAAAGCAGAGTCACAGATGAAGCCTGACTGAGATGAGAGGGGATGTTCTCCTGTAGAAGTAATGGGACATGGGTAAGGATTTTGGGGCAGGGAGAAGGAAAGTGCATTTTCTAACTGGATTGTTTTCCAAGCGTGTGTGGCCGAGTGGAGGCTCTTAGGACTTCTGATTTGGAGATAAATTTTTCCGAGGGCACAACATAACTCAAATGCTCATTCAATTTAATGTGCTATATTTATGGATTTTCTTTATTCTGTATGGGGAATATTTCTCCTCAGTTTCTTTTGGCTAGAAAGTGACTTGATCCTAAATGTTAATATCTCTCATCTGGAGAAGTCTAGATTCAGAAATGAATTCTTAAGTCCCTATTTACCTCTCTTTATGGATTAAATAGAAGCATTTCTTTTGTATTTTTTTTACCAATGAACTTTTTCTAATTTATTAAGGAAAAAAAAAATTCCCCCTTTCATTCTAATTCACAGTTTAAGGATGCCACAAACACAGGCAACCTTAGAAGCCATTTAACTAGTTCCAGTCCTCATAGTATAGCTTATTCTTGTTTCTGCTCATGAAATAGTCTGATGAACACATTCTGTTTTCTCTGCTACATAGAAGACTCACAAAGGGCCCATGTCAGTGCAAATGAGCTACAAAAGAAAGACCACTTTTAAGGATCTACTGACTTTAGACAAGATTGTTATAGATCTCATTATCTTGCCAGTAATGGGCTTTATAAGAAAAAAATACTTTGCAATTATTATTGAAATACAGTGTTATTTACAAAGGAGCTATGTCCATTTTCTAAAACTTCACAGAAAAGCCATTCTTTATTAATACAGGTAGATGTAGATGTGACTCTTCCAAGGTTTGGAGTTACAGAATCTGCCCGGTTTTTGTCATGTTTCTGCACAGGACTCACCAGCATTCTTCATATTTGTTTGCAATTTGTCATATAGCTCTGAGAAAATTAAAATGCAAGAAAGTACTTTCTTTGTTTATTTAATCTAAGTGAACCTAGCTTTCAATTTTCCCTTGTTTCAACTTCCAAATAGTTTTTCTTTAAATCAATATCCTTTTTATTTCTGCATGTGGCTGTCAATCCAAGCAGTAAGGACAAAGCTTTCAGGGCTGAGCACAAACACCAGAGCTTCTGGTTACTGGACATATCTGAGGCCTCACTTTCAGCGTATGAGGATTTGCAGCTTCCATTACAGCATTTAGACATTAGCAGTTAAGGAGAAAGCATCAGAAGCTAAAAATACAAACAATAGTTGCACAGAATGACTAAATAGCCCTGAAAATGTGCCTATACATAATTTGCTTAGTTGCTTGGATACATTCAGGTGAGACTGCTATAAAACTTAAATGGGTCACAAATAAAGCAATTCACTGAAACAAATCAAATTTCTTAGAATTCTATAATGATTAAAGTATTCCTTAGTATTTAGGATTTTTTTGTTATTAATTGATAGATATTAACAAAAATAAAAGGTATTTGGAAAGCATAGTTTTTAGGAAAAAAGCATTATCAATGACTTTTAAATTTTAAAAAATATCCAAGCCTTTTCTAATCTCAGAGATAAATTAATGTAGAGAGTCTCTGAATATCTTAAGTAAAAGCTATTTCAAAATACTTGTCCACGTCTTTGTTATAAATCAGGTTAATGTAAATGACATCAAAAAACCTCAGCCATTTGCAAAAGCTAGTATTTGGTCCTTTATCACCATTCTCTACCAATACTGGGTCATACAAAGTTCAAAGTAAGCAATTTTGCTTTGCAAGCAATTTTCCCAGGATTCTCTCACTCCTACTCTTGTTTTAACTCTTCACAGAAATGCACTTATAAGATTGCATATGCTTCCCTGAAAATTAAACTGAGTCTGGCCTTTAAGCTCGCTTTGGAACAAATGCAAACTATTCATCTTAACGCAGGAGTTAGTTGATTGTAACACAGGATGCATCCCTCACAGACATGAAACATCTCAGTCTGACAACTCTTCCAGTTTTTGTGTGCCTGATTAGCCCCTGCCTTTTCTCCCTCGTGTTGCTCCACTGAGGAAGTACAATTTCTATAAATGCTCACAACATCAGTGTTGGGTATCGGATGCTACTCTGTACCTTTGAAAGAAGCTGCATTTCTGCAGTTTTGAACTTGTGCTGCTCTTCCACTTTTTGTAAATGCTGATACTAATCAAACTCTATCTAGATCTCTGTGGTAATGCCAAAGCCATAGAGTAAGCAAAGCCCAGTATCTTAACTCAGAATAATATGAATATTTATGATGTTTCCTGTTAACTACTTTTGCACTGACAGAAAACAGTTGTTCCACCAGCGAATGCTTATTTTTAAGTGCTTTAAGCCTGTGAGGTCTTAAACTGTTGTATGATTGAGTGCTTGCAGTTCTCATTAATTTTAGCAAGAGTAAAGAATTCTCAATTGGCAAGAAAGCAACTTGTAGAACATCTGTTTCTTCAAAAATGACATAAAATGTGCCGAGTAATATACAGACTTGGAATCAGAATTCATACCAAATGCTCTCCAAGGTCTTGTCTATACAAACGTGAGCTTGTCAGTATACCTAGATCAATGCAGATGTACTAGCTAAACTTTTTTGTACAGAAAGCACTTACCTGTGAAAAAAATGCCTTGTCAACAGGATTTACAAAAGTTCACTGTTTGAGCAAACAGTGGTTTGTTTGTTATTTTTTTCTTAATTTTTTCTTTCTTCTTTTCTGAGAGCAAAAGCTGCATTCACCCTAGGGCTTTTTCTGTTTAAAAAATAGTAATAATAAAATTGGATGCAGCACTTGTAAATACTGTCCCAGAGAAACTTTTTAGTGTAGATTAGTCCTACAACCTTGTCTGTCATTATGATAGTAGCTGGCAACAAAAATATTGTCTCTTACAGAAATGTTTTCTGGAGAAAAAAAAAAAAAAAGAAGTTTAATATTCAGGTATAAACATGGCTTGGCAGGAATGTATTCTATAGACGTGGAGAGTGAGAAAGACTGCTCGACCTGTACACCAGGGAGCGCAGCAGTGAGAAGGCTCAGGTCAGCATCCAGTGAGCACATCTGGCAGAAATGAACCAGTGGCAGCAGCTGCCAATGCAAGGACTGCAGGGATGGTGGTGAGGGAAGTGAAATTGGGCCCATTTATGGCCACTTCAAATTCTTTCAAATACCAGACCGTGCAGAGAGACCTATCAATCTATGAGGACATGACTTCCAAGTGTTGTCTTCTTCTTGCCAGACCTGGGGAAAACTGATGGATAGTTCCTAGAAAGAGCTATCAAAGTAGACAAAGCTGGGTATCAAACAATTTCTTACATCTCTTCATACACCTTTTTTGTTCCATGCCTACTGGTTCACTCTCTCAGTTTCCTTCCTCACTGCCTCACTCTGACCTCATTCCTGATGTTCCCCTTTCTCCTCTGCACTCTTCCTCTCCTCTCTCTCTCCCTTCAGCATCTTCCCCTTCACTTCTCTTGACATGTGCTTTATCTCATTTAACTAATTTCATCACTATTCCCTGCATAGAAAAAAACCCTCCAACCAACAAAGAACCCAACTATGAGACTAGCTTCTTCCTTACTGCCACTATCAAGTTCGCTTCACTTGCTTGGTACATCCCTGCCTCAGCTGGCTCTCTCCCTTGTTGGTGTAAGTTGAAAGATCTTTGTGGGAAGGATCACATTCTACTCTGTGTTTGCTTAGTGCTCAGGGAAATACCCTGTAATACAGTGTATATTCTGAAATACACTGCATATCTCCGGGCAGTACTACATTAATCTTTGCTAAGGGTAGAAGTTTAGAAGGCTACAGTTCTCATAAAAATAATACAAAGGTTTGTAACTAAATGTAGAAAATGTTTTGCAACTGCTTTGTAAAAAGTTGGAATTGTAGTAAATACAGATACAATCCTGTTGTCTGACACATGCACAAAATTGATTCCACTGAGGATTACAAATGCATTATTAACAGCTGAATCTGTCTAATAATTTTTTGCTACACCTAGTAAATAATACATGTATATACATACATATATATGTATGTGTCTATGCCAGGTTTGGCAGTTCTGCTTCACCACAAAAGTGTGTGTATGACTGAGCAGGTGCAAACTGGTTTCACAGACCACAGTTTGGCATGTATGAATCAGATACTGGTGAACACCACTGCTAACTGCAGATGCTTAATAAAGCATCTATTCCCTCCTCTTTTCTGATGGCATTACTATTTTGTCTGTTTAGAGATGGTAATGTTCTTATTTGGGCTTCCTGGCAGCAGCCAAGTGGCAGGTATGCAACTGCTTTCAGAAGAAGACATTGAATTCTGCACCTCGAGGAGGCAGCCAGCTTGTGGCTGAAGTGGCAGCAGTGAGAAACTGGTGCAGGAGCAACCTAAGTAGATTGCTAAAAGGTGACATGACAAGGAATGAACTAGGCTTGTGCCTTTAGTAGTTCTTTTTAATAAATTACAGAGGTGACTCAAACTTTTTCTAGTGCTTGTTACTTGTGCTTGAATTACTTTCATGAATGTTAAGATTTGCTTTCCTGTTTTGCTTGATGTTCATTGAGGGATGGGGATTGGAAATTCTCAGGATTAAGCACAGGATCATGGATGTTGATCATGTAACAGAAGAGCTTCTTTGCAAAAGCTAAGCAAAAATACCCAGAAAGATCTCTCTTGGTATCTGCTGTGCCATAAAATCTCAACTTCTCAAAGGCTTTTTCTATGTGGAAAATGTATATTCTCAGTATACCATAATGTCAAAATGGTAGAATACTCCTTGACATATATGTGCATATTTATACATATATCTAGTTATATATCTTTATCTATCTATCTATATCTCAAAACCCACCTTAGCCAACAGAGATAATTATCTGATACAAGACCTGCATGAAGAAAAGCCTTTGTCTACTTCTTGCATGTCTTCCAGGACAAACAAGGCCAGGTAGGCCTTCTTCATACATCAATCAAAAGCGTATGAGTACGGTTTCTTTTCTTTTTTATTCACTGTTGCAATGGGAGAAGAAGAGAGATCTATATTCTGTCCCACTCCTGTCTCCAACAGCAGACAAGGAGTATGGCTAGAGGAATCTGATTAACCTCCAACCGGTTATAATGCAGTCACCTGTTGTAAACATTCTGCAAATGAAACACTGTTTTGTGTGCTTTGTATACGCATGCACGCTGGACTCGGTCATGCAAGGTACCTTTGAAAGCCCTCAGCTTCTGAGTATCAACTAGAAGAGAGAACAACTAGAACCATGCAGGACTGGGGTCTCTGTGTATGCATACAACAGTTTCAAATATAACCCTGAAGCTGTTTAGACCTTCAAATACCTACAAATCAGTATAAACTGTAACTTCAGAATACATGTCATCTCCAAGCGGGAGGCCTGGATCCAGAGATGACATCTCCACTGCTAGTCATACCTGATGGTTAGTCCTGTCCACAGTGTTGGCAGTGGAAGCATGGTCACGAGTGTTTTGTCGGACTCGGGTGGAGTTTTGCTGCTCAATGGTTGAGGAAGTGGGGATGCAGAACTCTCTGAAACACCTTTTGAAATTCTCATCTAGAAATGCGTAAAGGACTGGATTAAGGCAGCTATTTGTATACCCTAGAGCAATACAGAAGTGCCAGGAGACAGTCTGGAAAGTAGTTTCTGGGATGTTGACCAGGGCTTTAATGATGACATAAATATGAATGGGAGTCCAGCAGACAATAAACACCGCCACCACTACAAGAACCATCCTTGTGATTCTCCTCAGGTTCCTGTCCTTCTCTTTGGAGCCAGATAACATGCGAACGCTCTTCAGGCGTAAAATCATCAGCCCATAGCACACAGTAATGATCAGGACTGGCATGATGAAGGCAAAGATGAACACACAGATTTTCAGGAGGTTCTCCCAGTACCACGCAGGGTGTGAGAACGTAAGTGTGCAGTCAATAGAGCCTGGAGAAAAAGAACAGCAGAGAAGAACAAGTGGCTCAGTTTTTAATTTGCTTTTCTTTAAACCTTTTTTGTTAAATATCACGGGACAATATATGAAGATTTACTAAGTAAACAGGTAAAATGAAGCAATCTGTGACCTATCATCAGCACAAATGTTGACAGGACACAGTGCTACAAACATCTATGAAGTGTGAACTGGAAAACCAAAACCTAAGTCATATTTCTCTTTTGCATTTTATTGCTTGGAATTGCACATATATTGGATAAGAGTTGAATTGTCATAAATGCTTAAACTTTGACTAATTTTCACTTTCAGTATAAAATCTGGTGAAAAGAAAGGTGGTTTAACCATTTAACTCTGCTGAGAGTCTGGGCATTTCAGGGCAATGGGGAAGAGAATGACATGGTGACTGTGCACAATGGAGGGTTGGGATTTATGTCGAGATGCCATCACTTCATGGAAGGGCTTTGAGCACCAGTGTACTCTTTGCTTTATACCATGTCCTGCCAGACTAGGTGCAACATACCTATGACCACCAACTTCAGTGAGAATATTCTGGGTAAAGCACAGGCTTCTGCGCTGTAGGACAGTGCATAACCACCCCAGACAGAAGGCAGGCAGGCAGGCACAGATGCTTTCCCAAAAACTACAGTAACTGTATGGGGCAGTGAGACTCACACGGACCCACAGGAGCTAGAGCTGCCTGTTGTAAAAGACAGATCATGTGCAGTGCTGTGTCTGGTCAGCTACAGCCAGATGCAAAATTGTTGAAGGGGTCCATTTGCACTAACACCTGTTTTACACAGGTTGGAGATCAGAAGTTAATTCATTGACTCTACAGTGAAACAATGCAGAAAGTTTAAACATTTAAATACTCAATTTAGGAATGAAAACCTGACTTACCATGCCTGTATTTAGTAGTTGCCATGAACATAACTGGGAGGCCAATGGCAGAAGAAAGAATCCAGTTGCAGACATTGACAATTTTGGCATTTCTGGGGGTACGGAAATCAAGGGCCTTAACTGGGTGGCAAACAGCTACGTAGCGATCCACACTCATGGTGCAGAGTGTAAAGATACTGGTGAACATATTGTAGTAGTCTATGGATATAACAATCTTACAAAGGATGGTACCAAATGGCCATGTTCCCATCAAGTAATTCACACTCTGGAATGGCAGAGTACTCGTTGCTAGTGCATCTGCCAATGCAAGATTGAAAATATAGATATTGGTGGCAGTCTTCATTTTCGTGTACCTAGAAAAAAAATCAGCAAAGCATGTGAATGACCACAACTGATGATGTTAAAAAAAGAGTCCAGTGCATCATCTACAATAAACTTCTGTGAAATGATGTGCTAGATACTGTCAAAAATAATCTTTTCTGCTTTTAATCAAATGACTTCGCTATGGTTTATCCACAACAGTGTTTGCAGTTCAGTGAAGCATTAGCTAAAGGGTGTAAGAAAGAAAAGATTAATGTAACTTGTGCAGAGAGAAAGGATACACGTAGAAAAAACTCAATATTATAGATGCTAAAGAACTGAGGAGCTGAAAAAAAAGGTACATATCAGACACTGTACTAAGGGGATAGATTTTCTATAGCTGCTGATGTCATGTTGAGTATCAGAATCATGGTCTGTAGAAATAGAGAACTTATTTGTGGGTTGTGGAGCGGTAATGTCATAATTCCTTAGGGAATAAGTACATAAAAGATTAGTATAATTATCAAATCCACTGTGTCTACAGGCTTTTAGACTTCCTCATTAATGTATAAAATTCTAAAATAATTTGTAATGATGGTTACTATATTGCTTTACTAATCTCGATGTCCAGTGTAAGTTGGACAGATGTTCTTTCAATCAAACGAGAACACAGATATTATTAACCATTTGCACTGAATGTATCATTAGAGCCACCACCTTGGCTGGATCCTTGCTTGAGGTAGGAATGCTTGTTCTGCTCCACAGTACCTATTTCCTAAGTCTGTGCTGCTAACAACCCAAAACCCACTTCCTGAATTTTGAATATGCCACACTTCAATTACAGCTGAGCAGAGGGGGATTTTTATGTTTTAATTTATATTTGCATTGCTAAAGGTAGAGTCCAAATTCCTCCTTAGTGTCATCAAACTTTTGAAGAGCCCTTCACTGTTTCAAGTCCCTTGTGTTAGCTGAGCAGCACTTGAGATCAACTTGTTATGAGGATGCTATACTTTTGCAGTGGTACAATGATGTTCCTGGCCATGATGTCCTGACATCCTGATTGCTGTTGAGGTTGCTGGGCACTGTGGCTGTCTGTTTTTTGGGGGGGTCAGATGGCTTGCTCTTTTGATAAAAATTTCCTTCTGTTTCTGCAAAGTAACAAGTACAGTGTTTGATCAAACATTTTACAATTTAGAGAGTGACTTGCAAAAGGAATAGACCATTTGAAAAGATCTTTCAGGCAACATGCCAGGGAAGACAAAGTATAAAACCCAGTATTTCATGTTTTTCCATGCCCCTCTCTTCTGGGAATGATTTAGAAAAAATGTACAGGATTTCCCTGTACATCCCACAGTGTGGGAGAGGCGCACAACAAGCCTGCAGCTCTAAAAACAGTTCAGAGGGAGGAGAAAATATTTTCTGGGCAATTTGCTGGAGAATCTTGCAGAGGACAATGAAAAACAGCAACATTTTTACATTTTTTAAATTACATTTTTATACTGACTTTACCATTACCTAGAATGAAAATGTTGTACTAAGCCCTCTTTTTTTGCCATGTCCCATGTTATTTATCATAAAATAATGTCTTCTCCACAGGTCTAACAACAGACCCAGGACTAGCTAAGGTTGTGTTCAGAGAGCCAACCCGGAGGTTTCATTGCATTCTGCGCAGACATATCCAGCCTGTTCCAGTCTTATCCACTCAGGCAGCAACAGCAGCGGAGGAGCAGTGGCTCTTGATCCTGTACAGACAAGGCAAGGTGATGAGGATGCTGCGCCCTCACCCAGGCTGCTGATCCCTACTCAGCCCTGAGGAAATTGCCCTATCTTTATGGCTGGACAAGAAAGCACACTTAGGTACATTGCTCAGTGCTGCTGCCATCACACACAATTCAGGCATAGTTCTGTCTGGAGAGCACATCATCAGATGATAATGGTTTTTTTATCGGTAATTAAAGCCATTCTTATGATTTAAAGGAAATGCTTGATGCAGAAAAAAAAACCAACAAAGCAACATCAACTAATATAAGTGACTTAGATTTACATGCCAGAGGATGGGCAGGGAAAAGCTCTGAATAAATGGAATCAAGTTTGTTCACTGGGACTGGCATGGGCCTTACGGCACTTAAATGCTACACATTTTCCAGTTTTGCTATCTTGCTTTCATTGTCAGTTTAAGCTTAAAAGTTCTTGGACTTAATTTATTTAATGGGCTCTATAGGCTATTAATGAAGGATTTTGCTTGGCTTACTCTATAATCTTTACATTTCTATCAAGCTGTTCTTACAAAGAAAGGAAGCAGAGCTTTTGTGGTGAAAGTATTTACCTTCGCAATTACCTAATCAACAAAAGCCTATTGAAATTCACAATATTCTTTTCAGTGAATTCTATGGGATTTGGGTGTTTGTATTGAATATTTCAAGATTTTATAAAAGACTTATTTCTGCAAGGTACATTTTGTTAAGCACGTATTTTTCCAAATAAGTAGATTATCCATGTCCCCAGGATTATTTTTTTGGTACGAACACATAAATACTGAAGTAATTGATTAAAAGTAATTTTAACAGCATGAAAAACAACAGTCCCACAAAATTGAGCTTTTCAAAGCCTTGATCTTAGCTGTTATTATATCCTTTGCTAAGTCTCAGTCTACCTATTTTAACAAGCAGCACAAACATTTCCATCATCCAGACACAGATGTGCATGTGATGAGATTTCTATACTTCAGAGGGACTAGATTTTATATGTAATTAAAGTCATAGCATATCTGTATGACTTATAATACCACAAGTATTGTGTCTATAAAGGCAGTCTTTTAACAGATGCTGTTTTCACACTTTCACTTAAGGTCACTTGAGACTCTAAAAATGAAGAGATGTGTAAAGGAAGAGTCTTAAATGCAAAGCCATGAAAATCTGAAAGCTGGTATTTAGATTACATTGAAATTTTAGCATCTAAAACACTAAGTACTGTTTTGCATGACAACTAGCAAGGTAGCAAGTAAAGACAGAAGTTGGCTTTGGGCAACATTACTTTTTAAAACTACAATGAAAGACTAATAGAGCCACATGATGATTCAATTTTTCTGGTGAATATTTAGCTTCACACTGCTCTTGATACATATTCAAATTAATCATGCTCATTATAATACTGACTTCCACTAGTATGCTCTTTCTATCTCCTCAGTGCAGGTTTTGTATCATAAAATGTCTATGTTTATGAAGTATATTTTGTTGGTAGTAGTAGATGATAGATGAGACTTGCAACAGTAAGAATATACTTTATGCCTGTCTGATTCTGTAGAGAAAATTGAGCCCTGCTTTTATCTTCAGTCCAGCAAAACCTTAGAATACACTTGAAGTTTGAAGATCTGAGCTGCAGAGGTCCACCCAACTGGGATTTGCTTGAAATACAAAAAAGCAGTAGAGAAAAGCATGAGAATCCTACTCAGATAGTCACTAAGTTCCTAGCATTCAAGGATAAACAGAAAGCCATGAAATGATCTCTTCAACTGGCAGCTCATGGGCCACCTGTATTTGGTAAACCCATTAGAAGTTCACCGTACTCCACTGCACAAAGTGTAACAGCATCTTGAGCAGGAGCCACGAGCACCTTCCTTTCCAGCCTGCAGTCATGTCTCTCTCTTTCTGCAAGACATGTGCCACAGCTCTGGTTCTGGCCTGCCTACTCCAATGGTTTAGTCTCCACTTTATCACCTCCAAAAATTTTTGAAGAGACATTTCTTTTAAGCCTCCGTGGCTCAAAAGTAAAGAACAAATAATATGAAGACCCTGTATTTTCTTAAAAAATAATGCAATTTTTAGTTCACATCACACTTTATCTAAGCCTAATAGACACAGCTGGTATACTGCCACCTGAGTCTTGACCCCCCCACTTCTTGGACAAACCATTTACATCCATGTGGATTGTTGAAATATACCCTCCTCCAGATCCTTCAGCCCTTCTGTACCAGAACAGTTTTATAGTATCTCTCTACCACTAGGCTGGCACAAAGAAGCCAGAGAGGGGGTCCAGGGCCACATTTAGTCCAATGAATACAGTAATACATGCCATTACAAATTAATTTGAAAACTGCTCCTATCTGAATAACAGAGAAAAGCAGAAACAGTCTTTTGCACTTAGGAAATGGGCTGACGATGATAGATTGATAATAACTCAGCAACACGAAGGCATGCAAGCTTTTGTACACAGAATGGTAACCTGGAGACAGAGTGCCTCAACTGATTTAAGTTCAATGCAAAATATATGAAGAACTGGCTTAATTACAGGAGATTCATTGCAGAGAGCAGTTGTTCATGAAAATGGCTTGGCTGCTGAAAGAAACAACAGACAGCAATTAGGTCTTGGATACAGACAACCTGACATAACTCTTGTGGATGCTGGAAGAGATTAGGTTAGTGTTTCAAATTCATGTTCTTCTTGCATAAATGACTTGTTAAACAAATGAAGACTCATTATGTGCATACATTAGATTAGTTGAGGTCTCCTTGGGTGGGAAGATTAAAACATGTGAAGTATGCCAAGTTGAACCAATTTAAATCAGCTTTTATTTCCGTGGTTGTTCTGGTACATCTTGTATATGCAACTCAGAAACAGTAGGAAAGGGATTTTTTGTATGCTTTCCTGAGATCTCAGGTCCTTTCAATTTTCACTGAACCTTTATGGCTTATGGTCATGTTATATTCAGGATGGTCTGGAAAAACCCTCAAAAATTTCTTCTGTCTGCCAATCCAACTAGCATGTTTGACACTGAAATGAAATATCTCAGCTAAGCTATATTCTGGAAAGTACCTTTGAGCTAAAGGGTCTCAAATGATGGACTTAACTAATGACCATCCTATCTTTTTGTCCTTTTTCTTTCTTTGCATGGTAGTGGATCTCTATAGAGAGAAAGACCTGTACTGTATCTCAGCCACAGTTGTGACATGTGCTGTGGCAGACTGTTACCTATTAAAAGTTTTGAGTCATATATATACTGGATGAGCCTAACCTACCAGTCTGGGACCATATGATTTACTCAGCTTGAAGACT